CCAACAGTTGGAGGTTGCTGTGAGCTGTGATATCACAGCACTCTACCCAGGGTGAGATAATGAGACTCTGTCTCAAAAAAAAAAAAAAGACATTTCAGTATTGTAAATTGAAGACATAGTCTCCACTGGAAATGTTTCTTCCTCAATAATGAATGTCCCACTCTTCCTGAAGTACATTCAGTGGAAATAAATACAAATTATAACACACATTCCACATATATTTAATTGCATATAATCACTTTTACCTGATATTAAAGAAAAAGAGAACTGAGTTAGGTTGCAGAGTAAAATTGGGATATTGCAAGGTGGTTAGTTATTCTAAGTCTTTTTTTTTTTCTCTTCAGAGACAGGGTCTTGCTCTGTCACCCAGGCTGGAGTACAGTGGCACCATCATAGCTCTCTATAGACTCAAAGTCTTGGGCTCAGCTGGTTTTCTTGGCTTAGCCTCACAAGTACTGGGACAATAGGCATGTGCCACCACACTTGGCTAATTTTTAAAATTTATTTATTACTTTTTTTCTTTTTTTTTTGAGACAGAGTCTCACTTATGTCACCCTGGGTAGATTTGTGGCGTCATAGCTCATAGCAATCTCAAACTCTTGGGCTTAAGTGATTCTCTTGGCTCAGCCTCCCGAGTAGCTGGGACTACAGGCACCTGCCACATGCCTGGCTATTTTTTTAGAGATAGGGTCTCGCTGTTGCTTTAGGTTGGTTTCCAACTCCTGAGCTCAAGCAGTCCACCTGCCTTAGCCTCTCAGAGTGCTAGGATTACAGGCATGAGCCACTGCACCTGGCCCCCAATTTTTCTTATTTTTTATAGAAAGGAAGTCTCACTGTGTGTCCAGTGTATTCTCAAACTCCTAGGAAGTGATTTGCCTTTGCCTTCCATGGTGCTGGGATTACAGGCTGAACCACCACAGGGCTGTATTCCAAGTTTTATAATGGATTCCTGATTATCATTTAGATTGATGTGGGGAGAGCATTTATTCAATGTTCTAAGAAAACCCAGAACACAAGAAAACTTAGGAGTCAAAGCACCTTTGGTAATCACTGATCCAAGTGGTGGCTAATTGTTCTAACAATTCTTTGAATAAGTTATTTAAAAAAATTTTTGGATTTAGCATTATTTGAAAACATTCTGTAGACTCTGGAGAGGTTTACTAGTTACTTATTGAACTTTAGTCTCAAAAGAGAACAAAAGACATCTCTTACAATGCATTGACTAAGAAACCTCAGATGGGTTCACCGAAATT